AAGCGGGTAGGACGCTGGTTGCCAAGCGCAGATGAGACAGGGGGGATGTTCTCGCAGTCAGCGGGTTGAGTTCTGTATGTCGCCGGCAGCTTGCGACTTGACTATTCTCCGTGGCTTCATTTTCTGTGGCTTCAAGAGGTGTTGGATTTCCGATACAGTCAATCCACATATAACATAGGCGCCGCATGGAAGTCTTTACTAGTTTAGTTTATCCTAGTTTGATTATTTTACTTATAGTTTGTTTTATATTTCTGTTCAATTTTAGTTTGTTTTTTAGTTTATTATTAAGTTTTATTAGTTTTATTTTAGTTTTGTTTTTAGTTTATTTAATTTTAAGATGTATTAGCGATACGCCGTTGCTTTTCGGGTTAAAATCTTTACTATTTACTTTATCTTAGTTTAATTAGTTTCGTTTTCAATTTATTATTATAGACTAGATTAGTTTTTAATTTAATTTTAAACTTAAATTTAGTTATTTTAGCTTATTTTAGTTTACTTTAGTTTTTATTTAGTTTAATATTTGTTAGTCAAATGCGGTTTTTACTTTATCTTTTAATTTACTTTAATCTCGAAAATGCGCAGTTCTTTGCTTTGTTCCGCGAATTTGGGCAGTTCCGCATATTTGCGTAGTCGCACATATTTCGAACTTCTTCTTTCCTCTTGGTTGTATTTCTATTTTTATTTATGGCGCGCTTTCTTGTTACAAAACATTAGTTTATTTAAATAATTGTTCTTATTTTTTCTATTTTATACGTTCTACTTTTTATTTACTTGTCCTTTACTCTGTATTATTCCTATTACCACCAGTTCCGCAATAAATAATAGTGGAGTTTTCGTATGCTGTTCCGACCCCTAAGCGCGACTTTTAACGCGACGCCAAACGGTGACGTCACCAGCGCTTGCTCATAGCAGCGCATTTCCTATTCATCGCACAAGATCCATTCGGCATGTCTATACTAGTCGGACAGATTTGTCTGACCAGCCCTTCACTTCGCATGGCTCGTTCAACTATCCACCTCTGCCACCAACTAGCTGTCTTGATCACAACCGATTGGGACTTTAGGGATTGTGGGTAGTGGTGGGATGTCAGCAATTCAACCGT